ATGGCTTTGGGTAACACGAACATTTTGATTCTTCCAGTCCATGAGCATGGTACATACTTTCATTTGTTTGTGTCTTCCTTAATTTCTTTCTTCAGTGTTGTGTAGTTTTCTGAGTACTGGTATTTTACCTCCTTGGTTAGGTTTATTCCTAGGTACTTTATTTTTCTTGTTGCTATATCAAATGGGATTTTTTCCAGATTTCTGTTTCTGATATTTCATTGTTGGTGTACAAAAATGCCTTTGATTTCTGAGTATTGACTTTTTATTCAGCTGTTTTGCCAAAGTCACTTATTAGGTAGAGTAGTGTTTTGGTGCAGTCTATAGGATTTTCTATGCATCCTATCATGTCATCTGCAAACAATAACAATTTTGCTTCCTCCTTTTTAATTTGGATGCTTTTTATTTCTTTTTCTTGTCTGATCGTTGTGGCTTGGCTAGAATTTCCGATACTATGTTGAACAGATGTGGTGAAAGTGGACATCCTTGTCTTGTTCCTGATCTTAGTGGGAAAGCTGTAAGTTTTTGCCCATTAAGTATGATGTTGGCTGTAAATCTCTCATATATGGCCTTTATTATGTTGAGGAATGCTCCCTCTATTCCCACTTTGCTGAGTGTTTTTATTATAAATGGGTGCTATATCTTATCAAATGCTTATTCTGCATCTATCGATATGATCATGTGATTTTTGTCTTTCATTTTGTTTGTGATATATTGCATTTATTGATTTGCAAATATTATATCATCTTTACATCCCTGGGATGAATCCCACTTGATCATGGTGTATTATCTTTTTAACGTATAGCTGGATGCGGTTTGCCAATATTTTGTTGAGGTCTTTAGCATCTATGTTCATCAGCAACATTGACCTGAGGTTTTCTTTCCTTGTTATGTCTTTATCTGGTTTTGGGATTAGGATGATACTGGCTTCATAAAAAGAGTTTGGTAGTCTTCCATCTTCTTGGAATTTTTGGAATAGTCTGTGAAGGAAAGGGATTAGCTCATCCTTAAATGCTTTATAAAATTCTCCTGTGAAAGTGTCCGGTCCAGGGCTTTTGTGTGTCAGAAATTTTTTGATCACTGCTTTAATTTCATCAATTGTTATTTGTCTGTTCAGGCTTTCTGTTTCTTCTTCATTGAGTTTTGGAAGATTATATTTCTCTAGAAATTTGTCCATTTCACCTAGGTTTTCAAATTTCTTGGCATATAGTTCTTCATAGCAATTTCTTACAGTCCTTTGTATTTCTGTGGTATCAATTGCAATCTCTCTTCTTTCATTGCTGATTGTGTTTGTTTGGGTCCTTTTTTTTTTCTTGATGAGTCTGCTTAAAGGCTTGTCCATTTTGTTTATCTTTTCAAAAAAAGCAGCTCCTGGATTTACTGATCCTTAGAATTGTGACATAGTCTCTATGTTATTTAATTCTGCTCTGATCTTGGTTAGTTCCTTCCTTCTACTTGCTCTGGGCTGTCTTCACTGTTGTTCCTCAAGTTCTTGTAGGTGTAGGGTTAGGATGATTGTTTGAAGTATTTCTTTCTTTTTTATGTAGGCCTGTAACACTATGAGCTTCCCTCTCAGGACTGACTTTGCTGTGTCCCATAAGTTCTGGATTGTTGTGAGTTCATTTGTTTCCAGAAACTTTTTGATTGTGTGAAATGATTCTTAAGTTCTGGAAAATAATGCTACTGTTTTTCTATATTGAAAACTTAGTCTGTGACCATAATAATTAAAAGTAGAATGCGCTATTTTAAACAGATTTATGCTGAGTAAAGTTACTGTGCTGATCCTTTTGCAATATATACAAATATCAAATCATTATTTTGTACACTTTAATATAATGTTACATGTCAATTATGTCTCAAAAGAAAAAAGGTAGGTATGCTATTTTAAAAGTTTAATTCTTAAAGTTTTCCTGAGACACAGTAAATTTTCAAATTCCTATCCAGAAAAGGAAAGAAAAAGGGGGGGATGACCTCAATTTATTTATCAAAATTAACTCACATTCAGGTAAAATACAACCTTCAACTAAAAGGTAAATTGAAAGTTAGACCTTATGATTTCTTAAAAAGTGAGTCTTAATGGGTACTTTGCAAAAGGGAGAGGAGACTTGAAGTAAATGGAATTAAAGGTGAAACACGTTTACTCTGATTATTTTAGAGGGTGACTCGGGAGAAGGCTCCATGACCAGGACCAAGAGTTCCTTGCTTCACCATTTATGACGTCTAGAATGGCCCAACTTGTATTTTGTACTCTTTTTAGCTCATTTGAAACTGAGCCAAGATGTTTTCTATTTTTAAACAGACAAAATAGAAACCAAAATATAACCAATTTATAAAGTTGTTCATTTAGGAGACAAAATATCACATTGTATTTATTGCTTTCTTCCTTATTACTTTTCTGATAACCACAAAGATTGAATTTTCTTAAGGTGATTAAAATAATTTTACTAAGGAGGTGCCTGGATGCTTGGAATAGAGGAAGTGTAGTTTATGAGTTCCAAAATAGCAATATTTGAAAACATGTGCATGAAAGAACCTTTGTAAGCATTCTTGGAGTGTTTTTTTTTCTTTCTCAAACTCTCTACCCACACCCAACTTAAAAAAAAAAGCTTTGGGTGGAGTTAAGAACTCTTTTCAAATCTTAAACAATAACTGGAAATCCTGAAATGGGTTCTCCTTTATCCAGTGGGGAAAACATTTTAAAGTGCCCCCTCCTCTTTTCCCCTAAGAATTGTTTACCAAGGGATTTACTTAGTGATCTCCTATCTGAACAGAAAATTCAGTTTTAACTGCCTGAAATATGCCATCTGTGTTTATTTTATTCAAAAACAAAATCCTCCCCCACTGCAATATTATAAGTACATGGCCCTAATAACCCACATAAATACATTAACTCAACTATTTAAGTAGTGAAATTAGTGAAAGACTTAGAATAGATAGATACCATAAAAATGTGAAACTAAATGCAAATATAACACATACAAAGCACATCTGTCAACTTAATTTTTATAGATTCTGGTTAATAAGTAATTATGTCTCACCATTTATATATATAAATATATGTATCTCTCTCTCTCTATAGATAGATAGATAGATAGATAAATATATATATTTATCAGGGTGGTGGGAGCTATCAGGTGAGAAATAAGGTCACCTAGCACACCATGATGCAGTGAGTGGACCAGAAAACGGGCCGGAAGCCAGAGGACTGAAGAATGAAGAATGACTCTGGGGCCAGTTCCTCAAAATCTATCCCACCTGCAGGGCCCACTCATACAACTACCTGGAAGAGAGGTATCTGGAGTGTGGAGACCACTCAAAAATAAAATTAGAACTTGGTCATAATGTATTTGGAATTACTTCTTATTTTAATTTAACTTTATTTTTCATTTACTGTATATTTTCCATGACCATTTATTCTTCATGTTCCCTGCAATCACCACACGGTTGTCCATGTCCATGAGTCCTTTTTCCTTTTTCCTCAATTCCTCAACCTCCTAACCTCCTGCCATGGCTGTCAGCCTGCTCACTATCTATGAGTCTGTCTCTGTTTGGCTTGTTAGTTCAGTTTGTGCATTAGATTTCACATATGAACGAAATCATGCGGTATTTGTCTTTTGTCTGATTGGCTTATTTCACTTAGGGTAATGTTTCCAAGGTCCATCCATGCCATTGTGAAGTGGCAGACAAAGGTAAAACATCACTATACACTCATACGTAGGGAGTTCTGAGCAGATTAATTCCTGTAAATATTATTCTGACTGTCTTCTAAAGTAAGAAGGAGACTTCATCTCTTTTCTGCCAAGTCTTCCAAGAGAAGAAATTTAATTTTATTTAGAGTTGATATGCATTTCAAAGATTGCTCACGTTCCATTCATGCATCTTTATTATAGCCTGACCTTTCTTACTTAATCAGGGCAGTATTCCAGAGGACCCTGACGTGTGATTCTTTTTGGTTTTATTCAGAGAGACATAATCTCTAATATCAGCCCCAACTCTGAATCTAGAAAATTTACGTTGTACCAGATTTTCTATTCTCAGGAAATGGAGGATGAGTTATAAGGCATCTCCAAGAACATCCTTTAGTTCTTAGGCTTCATAGGGCATGAGTAAGGCCGCAACAGGATAGCTCCAAAAGCATTCTCATGCTCGCTTGAAAAAGAAAAAGCAAGGAGAACAGAAGCCAAACTATTGGCGCTATCTGAAAGCCACGGGTAATTCTGATTCAGAAAATTCTTATGTTCCTAACTCTCTACCTTTAATTTCTCACCTTGAAAGCCTGCACAGCAGTACTGAGAGTTGTAGGCTTTTCAGACAGACTTGTACAACCCTGAAGGCAGTTCCTGCTTCTCCATTTCTCTTTGACCAGAGCATCTCTAAAATAAATTCTTCGATTGTTATGGAGAAATGCTTAACACAGTCACAGTGTGTGTGTCTCATTGCTTTGTGTAGCTGGTTATTACTTTACATTGGTGATAGTTAGCCTACAGGGCTCTAAACTTGTTTCTTGAAGTTGCTTTATATGCATTACGTAGAACACTGACATTTCATATCCCCACTGTTTTTCATTCATAATGTCTCTTTGCTCCGATATCTACTGGATGAGTTAGACAAATACATGGATGGCAAAATAAACCGGCCATAATTAAATGGCAAATTCAAACTTCTAAATCTTTCAACAAAGCAGACAACATAATTTACAATGTTAAAAAAATCAATAACATGAATAAGGTCTACTTAAAACATTGTTATTACTACAAAACAAGTTAAACAATAAAGGTATATTTCTTTTAACTCCCTTCTAATCTAGGCAACATATTCTATACATTAATTTGCACATTTTGTCAAGTAATATACTGGATAATGATCAGGATTTAGTATTTCCAGAAGAGATTTCCAGCAGGGATCTTAAAATTTCTTGCCCACACCTATAACTTAATACTTTTTGAAACTATAACTGGGCATGAGAAAGAATGTCAATATTGCCAAATTTGACCAACACTCACGAGAGGATATTCCCGATATAGGCGTAGTAGGAACAACAGTAGGGCGTGGTCCCATCGCAGCAGTAAGACCTGCAGTCTTTGCCACACTGAGCCAGGCAGTCGTCTGCAAAATAAAATCAACATGCATTCAGTTACAGTTTTGAAACCACAGCTTCACACAAAGTTATTCTGTTTCATACCTTAACTGCTTTTGAGTGCATTTATAGATTTTTTATGTAGATAGACAGAATCCTAGAACATATGTGGGCATCTGAACGTGCCTTCCTTTCCTATTAAACATAAAGCTAGAAAATACAACGACCATTCTCTGAATCTCTCGTATCTGGCACCACAATGGGCGATCAGAATTCAATGAGACAATGAAGGGAGCAATGAATGATCCAACTAATTAGTCATTCACTTTGTCAATTGAGTTCTTTTAATGATTTTTAAAAGATAAAGTCTTTTGACTTTGGGTATTATTCTCAATTAATTTCATTTAATGGAAAGTGTTATTAACTTGAAAAATGGCAACTGGAGAGAATTTTAAAGTAATGTATATATTTTTTATGACAATGTATTATATGCTTTTCTTTCTAGACCATTTTTACCTTCATAATCAAAGTGTGCCTACACACGGTAACTCAGATGAGTCTGCGTATCCTGGCAATACATTTGATTTGGAAAATAAGAAGTTTCCCTAGATAACTAACTTGTGAATAATCAAGAGTTTAATGTCAGATTTAAGAGTCAATAAGCTCTGAAACAGTGCTGTGTGAGCGGGAAGGTGTTTTCTGATTAACAAGGACATGGTGGAGCTAACGAAACCAAATTACTCTCTTTTTTTTCTGTATGTTTTTGGTTAAGGAAAATTATACCAAAAACATTGAATAAAAATTGCCCTGGATTTTAAGTATTTCACTTAAATAATTTATTCCACTTAAATAATGTTTAACACATTAAGGTTATCATTTAGTTACAGTCAGTGTTATAAATTATAACGGGTATGTGAGTTTCAGGTATATGATAAGGAAAACATTAAATATAGTCTGATAATTTAAGTTGCATGTTTGAAAATCACAAAATAAGTCATTTTCAACTCAACCTCTGAAGTTAATATCAACTATTTTCTAAATTATGTAAGAGTCTTGCTTTTTTGCTCAAGTCACATTATAAAAATACATGTTATATTTACATCTGCATGTCCACATAATTGATTTATCTAGAAAGGAAAATTTCAATTTTGCTTTTAAATCCCCTCCCTGCTGAGAAGACTGTTTTTATAAAAGGATGTGATCAAAAAGTAGTCAAGTTCATTCACCTTTATCAATAATGCATGCGCTTTGTCAAACAAGTGAAAAAAGTTCACATTTTCTTTCCTTCAGTTTTATTTCTACCTCATAAATTAACAAACTTTAATGACTTCTTCTGGAATGTGGTAAGAAGAAATGAGAGAGGAAAATGATTACCTTCGGAAAGATGTAGCAACTCTGCTTAAATTTACTTGAAAATTTGGAGGACAGAAACACAGTCTAATGGTTTATTGACAGAGTATGCTTTTTGCAGAATGCATTGAACTTTTAAAGACTGATTATTTTATCATTTTCCCAATGAATGCTTATTGCTCTCATTTTTCATGCTGTTTAATTAATTCAAATATTTAGTAAGACTGCTAAGTTGTCTCTAGCACTTAGCAGGAATGTTTTGCTTCATGTTCTTAAAAGTCACTACAAGTTATTACAAGCATTAGCTCCCCATTAAGGTAGTAGGGGAGCTGATGCCCCCACTCATTCTGTGGGAACAGAACAACCAATGTGCCCCATTGAGCCCCATTGAGGGGCCTTTAACATGATGTCCTGGGCACTGACATCTTACTAAGCTCTCCGTGAATATCAAAGATTCAGTTACTACTCTTGTACTCCAATTACTGTTATGATAAGGACATGTCGTTATCAAAATATTTTGAGCTTGTGTTACAGGAAACCAAGCCTAAAGTCTTGTAGCCAAGAAGCTGGATTTTACCTACAGCAGACATGTGTATCATGTCATGCACTGTTCATATTTGCGTGGCATTTTCCAGCGCTCTTGTCTGCCTCCCGGAATTGAGGGACCGAAAAGGCAGGTTTCATAGCACGGCAGGTATGTTCACAATCACGGTATTTCTAAACACACCTCAAAGCTTGTTTGGATATGTTAGTTGCTTTCTCCACTGTATTTGAGACTAATTCTATGAGGACCAGAGTTTGAATGATACAGGAGCATTTTCCCATTTGTAAAAAGATGAAACATTCCGATTGTCTTTCAAAAATAGATAATATTGTTTCTAATATTCAAGTTAGTATCTTTGAAAATCATCCAGTTCAAACTTTTTTCAATGACCTTAATTAAAGGCATGATCTAGGAGAAGGTTTCCCGCCCCACCCCCACCCCACCCCCACCCCACCTTAAGGAATGTGTTCTACAGGAAAAGCTGCATTGGGCTACAAATACTTGCTGGGAAACTTTAAGCTACAGTACAGCTAAGGCTAAGAGAGGAAGGAAAGGGAGGGGACAGAAGGCACTGGCTGAGGACACGAAGGCAAAACCTTGGCCAAGTTCTGTCTTTGTAGCCTGCTCTGGGACTTGGATAATAATGTAAACACTTCACTGGGTTTCTTTCCAAAAGCGACTCCATGGTACAACATCATGCTCCAGGTATAGAAACCTCGTTCCTATTTCCTTAACAAATGGAATGTGAATTTAATGCATTTGTTTTGGGAGAAATAATTCAGATCACATCTACTTGTGTTTTTGTCCCATTAAGGATGACAAGTCAAATAGCAGGGGCGTCTGAACTATTCTTTCTCCCATGTTCCCCCATCTCGCTTCAACCCTTACTTCCAGCTGTAAATCTGAATTCCAACCATCTGTCTTTGCATGAACATATCTCGTGGATTTTGCCTTTAACCACACTTTGTCCTGTTATTCCATCTCCTATGTCCAATGCTTCCTCCCTGTCTTTCGAAAGTCTAGTTCCTAAAAGTCCTCCTTAATTCAGTTTTTCTGAGCAAATATTGATGGCACTTCACTTATGGGCAAGGCATTTTAGCTAGTCTCTCAAACTATTATGCTGAGCAAAACGGACACCATCTTCATGGAGTGTAATTACACACCTTGGCCAGCAATAAGACCCTCTCCTTTGGACACCGACAGCACATGATTATACCTCTCCTATGACCCATTAGAGTAACGGGCACATCTTATCTCCTAGTCAAGACTTAGCATCACCTCTGTTCTATATATCACCCACCACATCTCACACAGTAAGTAGTAGTTGAATGAATATGGCAGGCATGACAAAGCCTCTGAAATAAGGAGTTCAGGAATTACTGCCAAAGAACACACTAGAGAAACACTTCTTACCAAAGACACTAAGTCAACCTAGTAATATCAGCATACTTTGTAGCTCAGCAGGCAGAGAAATGAATGGAGAGGAAACTTTCTAAACCAACCCACCATGCTGTCAAGGCAGCTCTGTGGGTTTTCTGAAGCTGGGGAGCTGTGCACCCAGCACTGGAAGAAGCCGACTAAGGGAAGGAAAAGTGTGCAAATCAGAAGCTTTGTGCTTAACACAGGGAACAGAATAGACCGTTGATTATGAAAATGTTGATTTCAATGGCGGTTGAGTAAGGGCAATTGAGGGTATTACGGTTTTATCTGCTGAGTTCATTTTCTTATTTTTGTATTCTTTTTATAAACAGAGGAGTTGAAAAGAATTAACATTGCTTCAGATACACTAATACAGAGATAAAACTAAGACTAATGCAATTGGTTCTGCTCCTCAAATTCTGAAAACCTTGTGTGATTTAAGTAAAATAAATAAGTGTAAACAGATTAGAATGTGGAGTTTCCTCATTAAATAAGTACCTTTCCTACTTTTACAAATTTCTGCATTTGTAAGTCTACATTTTCCCTACAGGAAAGTATCTTTAAACTAACTTATAGAAACCACTAATTTGCATTTTAATAAACAGACTCAAAATTTTCACAGGTGTTATTGTGTCTCACTTCTGGCAAAGCTGAAAGAGAAATTCAAATCTTTTGATGATCTGATCATGTTGAAGAATGTCTTCATTTCAGTGTGTTATCTTTATATATATTCAAGGTACTGTACACAAGTTTAGTATCACAAGGTCATGGGTACCAGCCTATGGTTTTTGCTATAGGAAATTAGAGAAATGAAAATATTTTGCAAAACCTTTTGCTTTTAGCTTGTTTTGTGACTAGAAAGCAGATGTGAAACTCATGTGTAAATAACTTTACACACGAATAAGTAATGAAAAGCCATATCATTGAGCTGTATATCAATCACAAAACAAGAAAACCACTTTACTTCATCAATTATTAGCAATTATCACTAAGAGTAATTAGGAGGAGGGAAATGAGATGACCCTCATCCCAGCAAGTGCTTAAGCAAATCCATGAAACACAGATTAGACTCTGAGTGAATTGATGGATGCCTCTCAAAAACCTTACGTTTGACTTCAAAGCATACAATTGTCCAGGCTAACTCACGTGAGAATCATCTTCTAAAGCAAAGGTCTATGGGCATTTATTTCCACAAGGAAAAGAGGAATATTCAGAATGGGAGAGTGGAGAGGATAGTGAACACATTAATGTATTGGAAAACTTCAGCAACATCTCTAGACCTCAAGTGATTTAAAAAAATGTTTTCCTTCCAACCCTTACCCTCCAATCACCCCCTGATTCTTGAGTCGTGGGTACTGGATAAATGGTACTCTATTCCGAGAGTGAAATCTCCCAAAGGTGGAGTCAGGGCTTGCTTCCACGTTGCTTCGTGGAGAGGAAAAGAAAACAAAATCAAAGAACAGAAAATTAGGGAAAGAAAATTTTAAGAAGGAAGGAAACGTCAGTGGAAAGGACACGTGAAAGGAAAGGAACAAAACAAACCCGCGTGGACGTGGAGCCGAGGGTTCCTGCCCCACCAGGACCACACAATCTGCACTCCCTGAAAGTCCCAGTGCGTCGAGCTTAAACTGCGTCGCCCTGAGTGTGACCCAAGCGCAGCCCCAGGTCCCCGTCCCCTCTCCCGCCGCCCGAAGTCACTGACCTGCGTAGATAAAGAGCAGAACCAACTTTGGAAGCAAGACCCCTGGACCCCTGAGTAGCCTCCGCGCGTCCATCCAAGCCGGTGGCCGGAGGTTGCGCGCCAGGCCAGACAGACAGACAGACTGGAGCTAGGGTTGGCTGGGAGCGAAGGGAGAGCCCGGAACGGGAAGGGGATGGAGGGGACAGAGGGCGGTCAGATGGAGAAAGGAGCCCCGGCGGCCCGCGCCCCGCTCCGCTGGGGCGGAGGTCTCTTTGTCCCTCCCGGAGGAGCTCCGGTGCGGGTGCGGGGGCCGCTACGGAGGCCTGGGCCACCCGGGCTCACATTTCAACTCTGGGGTTGGCACCCTGCGGGCCTGGGGCGGGGGTGGCCCCCGACTCCTCCCTACGCTCCAGTTTTTCCTTCTGTAGTGACCGGGCCTTACTTTCTCCTGGAGGAACTTCTAACTCTTTGCTTTGGCTGTTGCTATGGAGTTTAGCAAGCTTCCTTTTCACCCTGTCCTCCACTCCCAGTTTTTTCTTTTTGAGGCAGTGCATGAAGAGATGAAGAAGACCTTACTTTTCGCCTCTGAATAAATGAAGGGCATTTTCCAGGTGGATGCTATTGGACAAGGAAAGCTAGTGAGGAAAATACAGGAAAATTGGAAAGTACACAGCGTATGTATAGTATTTCTTTTGAAAGCTGATAAAATGTTTATTTGTTAAACACTCAAAGCATTTCCAATAAAGTCAGGTAAAACAAAACAAAACAAAAGTGTACACTGTTGTCACTATGATCTGACAATGCTACGGAGTTACTGGCCTATGTGATTAGACAAGAGGAAGAAAACAGAATTATGAAAATAATCTGTTTATTATTAGGAAATAATCTGTTAAGGAAGGAAAATAATCACTTGCAAATGATATGCTTGTATATGTGGAAAATCAAAAAGAAGCAACTATACAGTTCTTAATTAGAGTTGAAAGACTAAAACTTCAATCGCTTGTTTTTATGCAGTTAAAAATCAGAAAGTTTTCAGCTACATGCATGAAGGAATAAAAGTCAGAAATAAGTAAATAGAGAAACTCCTCTTGACTGAAAAAATTCAACAGTATGAAGATACCAATTTTCCATAAATTAACTTATAAATCTGGGTATTAAACTGAACTCAATAAAAATACCAATATAAATTTCTTCAAACTACTCTGATTTTAAAGTTTACATGGAAAATAAACATGTAAGAATATCTATGAAAAATGAATGAATGGGATATGCCTTAACAAGTAATAAATATAACACTACTATCATTAAAACAGTTTTTAAAAAATTATACCTAGGCTCAATGGGACAGAATGGAGAATAAAAAAATAGATATGTACAGAAATTTAATTTATGGTTTAAAAAGTATCATTCTAAAGTAATGGGTTACACAATAAAGTATGTTAGGACTATGAGTTGGATTCTACGAGGTCTTATCTTCTTTCATCAAAACCAATTTCATATGAATTAAACATTTAGCCATAAATATGCAATTATGAAATTATTAGATAAAAATGAGATTATGACACTTAAATAATGATGGAATAGAGAATGCTTTCCTATGCATTATTTAAATACTCAGAAACCATAAAAGAAAAAAAAACGAGCAATTCAAGTCCATAAGAATGAAAATTTTCTATGTATGAGAAGTCAAACATTTGACTGGCAATAATATTTTTGATGCATAAAATGGAGGCCTGGTCTCCTTAACATATAAAGAGCTTAAAAACTGAGTAAGGTAAAAAAAACAACCAATATAAACTGAGCAGGAATATCGACAGATATATTTCTTCTATTTCTTCTACTAAACATGTAGAAGGTGCTCATCCTTACTCCCCCCAAAAGAGAAAAGGAAAAATCAAATTGATAGTGAGACATCATTTTTTGTGTAACCGGTAAACCCTCCTTGTCCCAAAGTATCAATGTTTAAAGAGAGCAATGTAATAATATGCATCAAAATTCAAATGCACCTGAAGTTTAATTTAGTTATATCTTTTCTAGGAATTTGTCCCTATAAATATACTGCTTCATGATGTAAAAGGATGGGAACATCTATCACCTCCCAAATAAATGTAACTTGAGATTCCTAGTGTGATTCATGCCTCAGTGTAGGCCCAACCATGGATCTGATCTAGCACAAAACTTGGTCAATTCCTCCTTTCTCAGCTCTAACAGCTGAGACTGTCACTAAGTTCCACTAATTGTACACCCAACCACCACACAAACATATTTGAATTTCATCCTCTATTTCTGCCCTAATCTCAGCTCTTACAGTGTCCATTATAAGCAGTCTCTTTGCCTCTAGGGATATTCTCTAGGCTGAAGCTAGAACATTTCTTGTGAAACTATAGATTTAATCACACTCACCTGTTTAAAACTCAGTGGTTTCCTATTGCCCTTAGGTTAAAATCCAAATATTTAATCCATGGTTTTGGAAAAGTTTCATCACTTGATTCTGTCACTCTCAACCCAATCTCAACATTCTTCTGGGAGCATAATTTCTAAATAACTGGAGGGATGGTTGGAATCTGGAGGAAGTCCCAGATACATAGAACTTTAAGTCCTAAAAGAAGTAGCTACAGACGTTAAGTCAGTGTTTGCCGAGTTGGAGAATGGAATTGAGGATTCTTGCAATGGTAAGATGCTGGCTTCCATGAAGAAACTGGATGAAGAGCCCTGGGCGAGAAGGGGTGGGGCGGGGACAGGCACCCGGTGATGGAGAGAAACCACTCCTGACCAGTTGATGCACACAGTATTGGGAGAGGCTGGCTGTAACCATGGGTGTTAATAGTAAGCTATAGTCAGAGTAGTCCCTTCCAGCTACTTTTGAGAAAAGAGAGCCTTCTCCTCATACTGTCAGTAGAATGGCTAAGCAAACTTTCTTTCTGGTTCTCCATTTTGAAAGAATTTCACCATAAAATACTCAAAAAACCCAACCCAACTGACTTCCAAAGGCAAAGAAAGATAACAAGCCCTGTAAGAAAATGTGGTACTTTATAAAATAAAATTTGAAGGAAAAATAAAAGCTATCTTATTATATTTCTAATATAACCACAATATTACAGCATTATTATAATATATAATCAACATAAATAATTATTGAGATATTTCACATCATTTTTTCTATTGTCTTCAAAATCCTGTGTGTAGTTTACATGTAATGGCCCATCTCAATGTAGATACTAAATTCCGTTAAAAGCCTGATATGGATTTTGATTTCATAAAATTTACAGTTGAAAAAGGAGATAAACATACCAATGTTGTTCCCAATATATTTAAAAGTTTTCTAATAATTGAATGAAGCAGCTGTTTTGAAATTTTAATGTAAATTAATTAAAAAATTTAGTTCTTCAGTTGCCCCAGTCACATCCTGAAGTCTAAGAGATGTACAAAGCTATTAGCTACCATACTGGGTGACACAAATCTAGAAAATGCCCAAATTGTACCCCGAGGCCATTTAGCTGAGGACTCCACAGTGCAACACGTACTACTACAGGCATCTCCGTAACTGATCCTGCTCTGGCCTGTGTGACTGTTTGCAACACCACAGCACTCATACACACACACAAAATCTGTTTATGTTTCCATCTTTATGGTACTTTCTTCCGTATTTAACCTCTTATCAATGCATGTGACTAGAAGAGCCACTGTCATATCTCTGTGATCTAGTGACAAGGGAGTCTGGGAATGCAGAGTTGGCATCTTCTTTGGAAAGGCAGGCCTATGTAGGTGGACAGTTTACAAAACACTGTGAAGGGTGCCAGACAGCCACAGAGGCTTCGTGTGCAGCCACTGCTTACTTTCAACACTGTGTAAGCTCCCAAATCAGAAATTTCATCATTATGTTCATGAATAATTTATCCAGATCTTCAAACATAGTTTGGCTCAAATGGATGTGCAATAATTTTTGGTTCAATAAATAAGTTTATGGTTCACACTAGAGAATAGGAACTAAAACATGTCTGTTTCACTGTCTGAGGAAAATCAGTTTCAATCTAACACCACGGTGAAGAAGGCATATACTTATCTTTTCGCTTTTAACCTCTGTTACTGCCAGGATGATTTTTCTGATGTCTTCTGGGGATATCTCTGGATAATAAATTAAAAATGGAACATAAATGATAGCAGAGCTGAAGGGTGGAATGACCTTGAGTACACAGTGAAGAGTGAGCCGCTGGTGATTTCAGGAGCTATGTCAGTCAGGAATTTTGCTTATCCAGACCATTTAGAGAGAAGCTTATTTGACTGCAGTCCTGCTCAAGGCCAAGTGCAGCAGGTCTTATAGTACCGACTGGCCTTTCCCTGCCACAGGCTTTTTGATTAGATTAGGCAAGGGCATGTGATCCAAGAGTAGTCAGTCCACAGACTGGCCAGTGGTTTGGGGCATTACTTGGAGCAAAAGGTAAGTTCAGCCCATCAGATGAATTCCAATGCAGAAATACCAAAATAATGAGGCAGGCGACAGTACGAACCGCAAATGCAGGAGGGTGGTAGTAGGAGAGAATAGGCAACTCTAATGGGTCAGTTGCTGGCCTGCATTAATGAGGAAGGAGTAACTATGAATAAACAGAAGGAAGGATGTACAGAAAAAGTTAATTAAATATATATATGTATACATACTGTTTTAAGTTTAATTGGGCTGCTGTGACAAAAACACCATGGACTGGGTGACTTATAAACAGCAGAAATTTATTTATCACAGTTCTGGAGGCTGAGAAGTCCAAGATCAAGGTGCTGGTCGATTCCATCTCAGGTACAAGCCCACCTCCTAGTCAGCTGCCTTTTCACTGCAACTTCACATAGTGGAAGCAGGTAGGGGGGTCTGTGGGATCTCTTTTAGGAGGGCTTAATTCCATTAATGAGTGCTCCCCCTCATAACCTGAGACCTCACCTTTCAATACCATCACTCTCTGCAGTCAGGATTTTAACGTATAAAGTTGATGGGAACATAATAATTCAGATCATAGCACATATGTACACACATATACAAACATGTATACACAGATATACATGTGTACACACATATATTCATAGATATACACACATGCGTACACACACACATGATCAAACTTCAATTATATCCTCTAATTGTGCTCTGAGTCAGATGTCACCTATTTAGTGGGCTTTCCTTGACCTCCCAGTTTAATTTTGCCTTCCTTGTTTCTTCCCCTACCACCATTTATTTCTCACACATTATACTCTTTTTCCATATAGCACGGATTACCACCTCAGTTAACTTATTTATTGATAGATTGACTAGTTACTAGAAACAGTCCCCTTGAATATAAACACCATGAAGCTTGAAGCCTTAAATATCATGTACAGTAAGTACTGTATGTCTCTTC